TAACATGGGAAGTCTTGTGCTCAATTGAAACTAGGGAGATGGATAGGAGTCAGTTTTGGCAGTTTTCTGCAAAGTTCCTCTTGGGCCCCTCACAAGAAACTTCTCTCTTTGGTCAAGGAGGAACTTTAGGGCATTCCAACAAGACTCTGGTCAGACTTGTCTGTCTGGCCTATGTGAAGACATGTACGGTTGTGTGGTAGCAGAGCTATATCTCAATAACTCTACCCCTCACTTTTCATGTATCCAAGTAAGAATTATTCTCAGGAGTTCAAGCTACCCATTAGATTCCCTAATTAACTGTACCGATTAATTATAGGGGCTTGGACCAAATCTTTTCTATTCATCTGAGGCAACATCAAACGAGAGTGACTATGACTATGACTCCTGGCAGGATGATTAGGCCTACTTGAAGGATAAATTACAAACAGGCTTCTTGTCCAGAACCAAGCCAGCCAAGTATGTCTCAGGTGCTGCTGAGATTGACCTTAGAGAGCTACGCTACTTTCTTTCTAAGTTAGTAAATAGATTGCTCCATCTTCCTTCATTCATTAATATGAGTGTAGCAACAGGCATTGGCATTTAAATATATTATACCCTGATTGGCCAGCAGGAAGCCTGGGGCAATGTGACTGTCTAGAACCACTTGCATTAGAGTTTAGACTTTTTTGTGTTTGTCAGGCAAGTAGAGGTCTGATGTCCACATAAGAAATAGTACCCTATTGGGGGCATAAGCTGTATTATAAGTATAAATATAATTTAGTACAATAATGGGCGAGTCAATTTTATGTCCCTTGTGATGGACAAACTTCTCGATTGGAGCTAAATAATTTATGCAAAGCAGTCTGAGTGCTTTGGAAGAAACAATCTGTCTATCAGAGCCAATAGCCTAGCTATTATAGTACAGACTGCCCCAGGTGAACTATATTCTGCTAATAGATTTGTAGTGACTTCAGCAACAGTGTTTTGGTGACATGAGGGTCAAGGTTTCATTCTTCAGTGTTCAAAGAAACAGCTGTTAAGTTTTTGTTGGTTGGGTCAGGAGGGAGCAACAGACACAGTAATCAGTTAAATTCAGAGAGTAGTTATGGTCTAGGGAAAGCATACAAGAAAACTTTGTTTTTTTCTTAGATGGTAGAGAGGTCACAAGGGACTAACAATAATATTAGGCTATGGGGGCATATTAATGTCCAGAAAATTACCTTTGTTGTCATCTTGGGTGGAGGTCATCTACTTGAAAGGTCAACAGTCTTTAGTTTAAGATCTAAGGACTAAGAATCTAACTCTTAAGATCTAAGGATCTGGGATCCAAATTAAGAATGAGGATTCATAATTACCAAGGATGACAGGCCAAGACTAGTGTCCTAAAGGTAAGAGCAAAAAGGAGTAAATGATTCTTCCCTGAGCTCCTGACTTCCCAGGGTTTAGGGTGTTCCTTCCATCTGGGTTGTTGCATCCCTATCACAGCCACATGATTGATATGGCCAGTATCTGTCACTCTTCTTACCCATCCTCATCATTTCTAACCCATGCCATTTGTCTAGATTTCTCTCCCAATGGCTATTTACTTGTATAGTGTGTGCCATCCTTGAACTTATCCCACTCGTGAGGTGTGCACTTTGCCAGGACAACTTTAAAGTTACCTCATACTCCTGATTACTATCCTCTGCCCTCTAGTTCAAATATATCTTACTAAGGCATAAAGAAAACCTTCCTCCTGCTCATTAGATTTATTCAGCATAATGTTGTTATGAACAACCAAAGTGAACTGATGTGGTTTTTGTAGAATGTCAAGACAATCAACATCGTTGTAGAGTATATTAAGGAGAACTGATGCACCACTAAGGAAATTCTGTGAAGGAATACTATAGACCCTATTAGGTGAAAGCCAAGAGTTTCTTGTGGTTTTATAAATAGGTATGAAGAAGATGGCATTAGCCAAGTCAATAGCTATATAACAAGTGCCAGGTGCTGTGTTTTTGATGTGTTCCAGTAAAAATACTGCATCTGAAACAGAAGCTGCAATTGGAATTCCCCCCTGATTAAATTTATAATAGTTCACCAACTGTCACCTCCAAGATCTATATGACTTCTCCACTGGCCAAGCTGGTGAGTTAAATTTAAATATGATAGGTATCACCAGCCCTACTTCTTTTGTCTTTTATGGTGACATTAATTGTTTCTGGTTTAGTATCTAGGAAGGAAGTGAAAGTTCCAGCAGTTTCCACTTAGCTCTTTGTACAATACTGGTCCTCACCTCATGGGTAAGAAAGCCAATATGGGGTTTCTAGAACTGAGAAAATAACCACAGTGGGTATGTGGATCAGCTGAACTAACAGAACCAACTGTGAGTTGGACGTGAGCAAAGATTTCATCTATCTACTGACCAAGATAAATCCAACTTTTGTGGGAGGGTCATAGTGGTGTTGTGTGTCCCCAGAAATTAGCATCAATTCAGAGCCAGTACACCTGAAAAAACTTGTGTATTTCCTTGTCTCCAAAGCACTGTCAGTCTTCTGGATCCTGTCATCCTCATTGAAATTAAGGAGCCCATCTCAATAATGACATCCTCAATAGTCATATATAGCCTACAGAGGGGAACATCCACAGAATATTCAAAGATGCATGTCTTCCCCTCACTAATGTATTTTTCATTCTTCAGTGAAGGGAGTATCTTCTAGGCCTTTGCATGGAACAATTGGGGAATGGGCATGTAGTTTATATATGGTAAGTCCCGTATAACATTTCTTTAAGCCTTTGGATTTCCTGTTCCACATTATAATAGGAAGCTCTGGCATCTCAATCTCACAAACTCCAGGCCACCATTGAGTCCAGGTTTCCTTCAATCAACCAAACAACTACAGGTAAAGCTTAATAAAAATACAAAGTTTAATAAAAACAATTAACTATAATAGGGGATTAGTGTAATGAGGAATTCACTAGTGAAAAGAGAACCATAGAGAATATAGAAATAGCAGTTATAAGGAGCTAACCTTAAACTAACCATTGGGCTGGGAGTTCCCAGAGAAGAGCTCCCCCAGGACATCCCAGGATAAGAGCCATTCATTATGGAAAGGGATCAGCCTGGTTCACTGAATGGCAGAGAAGTCACACCTGCACAACTTGTTGAAAGTTTGCCCTCTGGAACTTGCTTCAAAGCTTATCTCTGGCATGCCTGGAAAGCTCTTCATGGGGTAATGTTGTAACAGTGGGGAATTATAACCCCCACCCCCAATCTTTTGACCTTGTTTCTATAAAAGCTGATGCTGACTAATGTGCAGCTTGCAGATAAACAACATGTTTGTATAGGAATCCTAGTAACTAACTTCAGAAGATACAGACTCTGACCTTCAGTCATCCCAGCTCTTAGAAGAATTGCTGACCTTTAATTGTAAAACCAGAATGACAAAAACCAGCAGGAAAAGTTCTCTAGGGCAGACCATCACTCAAACAGTTTCCAGGTTCTTATCGAAATGGACTGTGCTGGTCTGCTTGTAGAGAACTTTTCAACCCCCTCCCCTCGATCTCTTTGTTCTGCTTTCCCTCTCCCTCCTTATGAAACTCTCTGCCTGCACTGAGATGTTAAGATGGTCTTTGAGGAATGAGCCTATAATCATCTCAGGTTGTCCACACCTGAATAAATAATTTTTCCCCTCCACCAGCATCCACCTCACGAGTTTGGCTTGGTGGTGACAAGCAGCCCAACCTGGCTTTCGGTTCCAGTATCTCACTTTGGCCACTACAGTGGCCTGCGCACTATGGGGCTTGGCATAAGAGAAAGCCAGGTATGCTGCAAGAGCTTGCCTACCAATACACCAAACCCAGGTAGAACCCCTCCCCCACTTTTTTTCTTGTAATGCCTCTTCAGCACCCTCTACTGACAAACCTTCAACCCTTGCTGGCAAAGGGAAACTTATTTTAAAAGGCCCAGATGCATTTTCGCAGCACCGTCAAAAAAGGGTGAATTTGGAGTTGTAAAGGCAATAAATCAGTAACTGGCACAAATATCACTTCTCAGGTTTCCCTCATGGATTTTGTGGCCACCGGGAGGGTGTTTTGGCAGGCTCCTTTCCCTCAGATTTCACCAGGAAGTCGCCAAAAGCAACAGAAACACAGAGGAGTCTGAACAGAATTCGAAACCCGCTTCTCTTCTTTTCCCATAGCTCCTCATAGAGTTCCCTTCCGAGGCACGCCAGGACCGGGTCTTCAAGGACGGAAAACCTGAGCGGCGACAGGGAAATGGGGAGAAAGCTCAACCCTTGTGGAACTTGGGCGGCGGGCACCACAAGGCCTCCGAGGGCCTGAACTCCAGTAAAGCTGCCTCCAGGGTGACAAAAGCTGCCTGAGGTCTCCCCACAACCCGGGTGCAGGGAGGCAGACGCGGGGCGGGCCCCGCGGGAGGCGCGCTGTGATTGGACGCCGGTGGGCCCGCCCCTTCATCCCCGCGCGTCGGGAAGGGGCGGGGCCAGCCGTCTGCTCGGCCGGGGACTGCGGGCGCTTATTGACCCAGCGGCCGCCGCGGCGCTGCTGTCTCCTCCTGCTAGTGGCTGGCGGTTAGGAGCACCGAGTGGCGCTGGAGAACCAGCGCTTCCTTTCCCGGCTGCTGCCGCCATCTCCGCGTTTGCGGGGCGGGAAGGAAGGAGGGGACTTGCGGCTGCAGCTGGAGCCGGCTTCTCTCCGGGGACAGTCCTCTCCTAGCCCTCGTTGCTCTCCTTTTCCTCCTCCGCGCACCGCCGCCGCCCGCCCCCTACGCCCTCCCAGCGCAGCCCGGGTCGGGGAGCGAAGAGCAAGGGGAGGCGGGGGGCGGGATAGGCAGGCGGGTGGACCCGCGTTCGGAGGCAACTCCTGCCCGATCCTTGCCTCCCCGCGCGCAGGGTGCTTCTCGGCCCGACCTCGGTGGCGGCAGCAACAGCAGGAAGGGGCTCAGTTAGGGGAGGCGGGGGCGGCGCCGCGGGGGCGGGACCGATCGTCCCGGCGCTAAGTTGTGGGGCCAGGATCCTCCCGACCCGAATCTTTCCCCCTCGGCTCTCGGGACCCAGCTCCACTCCATCAGCCACGGAGCCTCCGAACCCGCACCTTCTGGGGGAGGAGGACACGCCTGCCCTTCTCGAGAAAACTTTTCCTGCGGACTCGGTCGGGGCGGCGGTGGCAGGAAGTCCGGGCAGCAACCTCTCCGCCTGTCCCGCTCTCCCTGCCGGGTGCCGGCGCTGAGCTCGAGATCAAGTTTTTCGGGCCCTTCACGGGCTACAGGCAGGTCCCGCTTAGGGAGGGACGCCCGTTCCGAGGAGGGCGAAGGCCGGAGACAAGGTGCGGAGCGCGGCCGGTATCCGCACCCGCAACCGAAAGCGCGGCGAGCACAAGCTTGGAAGTGGGGAGCATCGGGCGGCCGCTTCTAGGAGCCCGCCGTCCGCCTCCTCTGGGTGAAGACAGTGTCCTGGCCACGCGTCTATCGAGGAAAAATGAAGTTAAGCCGTCAGTTCACCGTGTTCGGCAGCGCGATCTTCTGCGTGGTGATCTTCTCGCTCTACCTGATGCTGGACCGGGGTCACTTAGACTACCCCAAGGGCCAGCGCCGCGAGGGCTCCTTTCCCCAGGTAAGCCCCGAGGGTACGGAGCTCCGAGAGGGGAGGCATGGGGGTAGGGGGGTAGTTACCCGCAGCTCTTCGCCCTCTCCCTCCCGCGGAGGCCCCGCGCCGGGGCAGGGCGAGCCCGGCTGTGCCGCGTTGGGATGGCGGTGACCGCGACCCGGGAGCCGCCTCCTCTCGGGCGCGCCGAGTTAACAAAGTGCCGGGCGGCGTGCCGTGGCGGGATCGCGCTCAGGGGAAGTGGCCAGGTTCTTACACTAGCACCCCGGCCTGTCAGGCTGGCCTCGGGCACCTGCCGACTGGGGAGGGACGCGGCGTGAGGCGCTCCCTCGCTGGCGCAGCGCCGTCCTGCCGCTTTTGGGCAGCCCCTCGGCCCACGCAGGGTTAGGCGGCCCGGACCCCCTGCGCGCATCCATTCCGCGAAATGGCCCTAACAGACCCCATCTGGGCGGCGTTTTTACCCCCCCACCCTTAAGAAATTAACAGAAGTTTGTTTCGTGTTGCAGTCCTCTGAGATGGGAATCTGTAGGGTTGATTTCAGTGTCGTCATTCTTCAGCTATTACATCGGGTTGGTTTGGAGCAGACGTGGGAGCCTAGTGGGGAAGCGCGTGTTATACTCCAGCCGGAAGCTGTGGGGCGCTCAGCCCTGTGCCCAGTGGTCGAATTGTCAAACGAGTTGGGAAAACGACCGGTCTTCAGTCTTTTATTAAAGTTGCTAAGAATAAGCAAACGGAGACAGTCGTTTCTGTTTGAAAGGATACCGCGCCGCGTGTATTTTCCTTTCATTTGCTGATGACCAAGTACGCTTAGGAAATTTTAGCAAAACTGGGTATTGTGTAGTATCCCCTGTACTGAATGAACCTGAGGAATTCAAAATCCTGACAGACTGATCTGACAAATAACTTGACTAAGAATTAGAGAAACGTAGTCCAATCCAAGAACAAGTTGACATTTGTGTGTGTGTGTGTGTGTGTGTGAGAGAGAGAATTTAAATGACCAAAGCGTGTCCTTGTCACTTGTTCTTGTGATATGCTACAACGAAAGGCCTGAATTTATTTGAAATTACGAACTTTACTTGAGTAATTATAGAATTAAAAAAAAAAGACACCTATGTGGATGCTATCATCGGTTTAGAACACTCAAAGTATTTTACAGGTGTGAGGTATTAAATCTTGTTATAAACAGATGTATCAAAAATTGTAAAAGCTTGTGCTTCTCCTAAGTAGTCTGGTAGGGACAATATGGTGAGATAAGCAGTATGGGATATCTTTAAATCTTGAGTTTAGAGTTTGTCTAGTGCTTGTTGATGAGATTGGATAAAAGTTTTAAAAAGGGTAAACCCTGTGAAGCAAGAGCAAAAGGAGGAATTCTAGGCCTTGTTTAATATGCTATTTAATAATTTTGGGGCTCACCTTACTGTGATTCCTTCCCCCATCCCCTGCCCCCAGTAACCTTATTTTCAGAATTTTCTTCATTACAGGGTTAAATCATAAAAACTGATATATTTTACTTAAAGTGTTTTATTGAATAAGGTCTTTTGGGTTTGGTTTGATGATCACTCGGAAATGATTTATGTAAACATCTGGGGCTGGGGTTCTCTGGCAACCTTGACATTTTACTGTTTCTAAAGAAGTGGATGACTCATTCAGTTACTGGGCCATCGTAGGCAAAGTTAATTCCACTATTTTAATATACAGCCCTAGTCCTTGTCAAGGGGTTGAATTTCTGCTTCGAGCGTAAAACATTGAATGGAAAGTGACGGTAGCTGCTGGAAGAGAAGGCCCTATGTGTTTTGTTTTGTATGCAAGAGGAGAAGGTTTGGTAGGTGGAGCTTTTTATATTTAAAGATGTCTTTCTCAGATTTTCAGTACTGGATTTTCAGTGCAGGAAGAAGGCACTCTTTGCTGATTTCATTTTGGAGAGCCACTAAATCCCCAAGCAAGTGGACAGGATAAACCTGATGTAAGCCTAACTCATGTTTGACATTGGCCTGTGTGTCTTGCATGATAAACTTGATTCCCACAACCACCAGGTAAGGAAGCTGAGGCACAGAGAGATGAACTTGCCCAAAGTCACACAGCCTAAAGCTGAGATTTGAACAGGTGGCCTTTGGAGTCTAGGCTGCCAGCTGCCAGCTATACTGCCTCTGAGTAATCCTTTGCCTGCTGTTAGGCCCCAGCCTGCTTGTGGAAAGACCTGACAGGGAAGTGGGAGCATGTTGCTCTGTGGCTCCTTAGCTTAAGCCTGTTTTTTGTTTTTTTTGTTTTTTAAATAGAACTTTTATTATGAAGCCCTAATGAATATATTCCTTTTTCTGAAACATTTAATGCTTGATATTTATACCTCCCCCAGAATGTCTTCTAGCTCTCTAGAAGACATTGTAATGAAAACCATTATGTAGCACAGCAACCAGCATTTGAATTGAATTTTTTTTTTTTTTTTTTTTTTTTACTACCTCTGTACTGTAAACCTTAATTTGATGAAAACACCAAAGATAGCAAAACTAAGTTGCAATGTGTTATATTTGTTGTGGTTGGGTATAGAATTCCTCAGTTTTGTTAGAGCTAAGGTAAGCAGTCACTATATTATTATTTTGGGTGCCTAGTGGAATGCTTTATCTAGGAAGGGATTGAATTCCCCCGACTTGTGCAGTTTAGTTTCTTTCAGTTAATATGGAACCTTCAGAAAGGTATATAGGTCCATCTTGTAAACGAGAGATATTTTAAAACCATCCTAGATTGAGAGCAATTGATTTGTGGTTATTTTGCCTTTCACTTTTTCCTTCCTCCCACACACAACTCTGTGTTTCCCACCAATTGGCCAGACTGTGGGCCCAACTTGGAGTGTTTCAGTTTCTGCCCCCCTGGAGCAGCTGCATGCCTGTAAGACAGTCTTTGGTAGGCTTTCCCCTGTGCTTCTGGGAGGAATTCCTTTGAGGCCTGAAGGCAACAGGTGGCCTTATCTGTTAGCTTATGTGTATATTTCAGGGAAAATAAATCTCAGCTAGAAAAATTAATAAAATGAATTGAATGAAAGGCTGCCTGGGGCCTAATGCTCCGAAGATGATGCTTTAAGGTAATGTAAGAATTCCAGCAGACAGAAAGGAGAAACATTAAGATTTTCTTGAAATGTTTTATCACTTCTTACAAGCAGATTTTACAAGTTCCTTAGTTATCAACAGCGTGTATAATAGGATGTCTTACGTTTGGATCTGGAGAATTAAATTAATGAGCCAGGTTTTGTATAACAAATGATCACTCTTTAACCATATAGCATACGACCATAAGGATTAATATTAACTCTTGGAACTGATAGAAAATATGAAAGTGAAGTTCACACTTTATTTTTGTACCCAGATAAAGTTTTATAAAGTAAGAATTTCTTTAAGTATTTGATTGAAAGACACTGGAAAGTGGGGACTTTTATGACTTTTGGTTTTTTAACTTTTATTGTGAAAATGCAATACATATATAAAAATATGCTTAAATGCTTTACATTTCTAGTACTTCTTGAAGTCCAATCTGGATGATGTTTAATAAAAGTTGACCTTGATCCCCCAATTGTTTAATCTTACTTTCAGAAATCGGTGAATCTTTAATAATACATAGAAAAAACATGATCTTCCTGGTTTCTCCACACTCTAGTACACTCTGTTTATAAACTATAGCACCTGTTGATTTGTGCACAGGTGTATATGGGAGCTTTTTATTTCTTGGGATATAATATTTGAGATATATGACTTTTGGGAAGGGGTGGAACTTTGACAGTGGTGGCAAGCAGACTTTTAGGAGGAATACAAGAACTTGAAATCCCCTGGAGAGGCTGATTCTCCTCTGCCAGCTCCTGAGTGTAGCCATCCTGCAGGACTCCTCCTGCCCAGCATATTTCACTGAGACTTCCTGTACACCATTGGGACAGACACTGGTGACTGCATTTGGTCTGAAGGTTTAAGTTTATTATTTTTTTAACTTGAATTGATTATGTTCTTCCCAGACCGGCATTGCTTTCAGGGCCTAAACAAGTCCGTTTGGGGGATGTTGCAATCCTGTTTATCTGCAGGGGATTTTCTGTTACTCATTCATTAGCAGTAAGAGATATCTGGACTGCAGGCGAAACATTGACTAAAATTACCAATTTTATTTGTTGTTTTCATTTTGAGTCAGCTATTGCTTTTTGTGATAGTTGTAAAAAACTTTGGTCCTTTTTTGATAGACTGATGTGAGTTTTGAGATTTTCCTAGAAGGAGTAGTTCAGTAGCTTATTCTGATTCCATGCTTAATTATTAGTTTTTTGGTTGTTTTTTTTTTGGTCCAACAGTCTGTTTTTCCTTGTTGTTTCTTCCCTTCCACAGAGATCTTTCAGAAAATGGGAGGATATTCAACAGCTGGGGCATGATCGCTGTTTGCTGGATCATAAAGTCATTGCACTTTGGCCCCGCTTGTCTTGGTGGTCAAGTTACTAGTAGCATGGGCTTTTCCAGTATATATAGAACTAAGGAGGAGAGGAAGAACTCTAGAGGAGTGAATTTTGCTTTTTTGCTTAGTTGTCATGGTTGATCTGCAGAGGAGGCAGACCATTTTAGCTAAAAGGGCTTTCTCTTTCAGTTACAGATTTCAAGACAAGCTGCTAATTTTAACGTTGAAATCATGCTTAAGTTCAAACAAGTGTGAGGGTTGACTGTACTGAAATGGAGTTCAGACATAGTGTTTGAGTATTGCTAAATTTGCCTTATGATAGGAAGAAGTAAATAATTTGGTTTAAATGAACGCAGTCTCTTGAGGTCATAACGTAGCTTTTCTCTGAGATGCTCTATTGAATGTTATTTGTATTTTTATGCACAGGCATAGAGTAGTTATCCAGTAAATATTTTATGTTAAATTTTAACTTTAATATACTGTTTTCTAAAGGAAAGGTCAACCTTGAAGCTCTAGCTGAAAACTATACAAGCTGTACCTTTGGCTGACTTACATCATTGCTATTGACATTTTGGTGTGGAGGGCTGTCCTAT